CTGACAACACCAAGTCAAGGGTTAAGATCCCCTTACCGGTCATCTTATTAAAAAAAAAAGAAAGAAAGAAAGAAAACTCTCCTCAAGCACAGTGTGCTAACTGACTCTGCCATTTTCTAGCTATGCACGCTTAGGCAAAGGGCTTAACCTTTATGCACTCCATTTTACCTGTCTATCAAATGAGGAAAATAAAACTTGCCTCACTGAGTTGTGGTGAAAAAGCCTGGCACAAAATAGCATCTAATAAATAGTCGTCATCAAAACCAGAGGAATGGCCCAAACAGGACAAGGGCTGATAAGGTAGTGTTTACTAAATGCCTACTATGCACTAGCCTGTCTCAGGTGCAGCTGCTGAAGGCACACTGTGCCTTGACCAGGTTCTGTACAGCAGGATGCCCGAGACCATAACACAAACCCATGAAGGACTCTCCTAACCTAGGAGCTTCCCCAGCTCTACTGCAGAGGCTGGGAAGCAGGCTGGTGTACTGATAAGCAATTCCCCTTTAAATTTTTTAAATTATGAGAGCTTTTCACAGAGAACCTCAAAAATCAGGGTTTGAACTCTTTTTTAGTGTTCACTCCCTGCAAATATGCTAAATACATTTCTTCTTTACTGAACTATTATTTCCACTGCCCTATTTTTCTGGCACACTGCATAGCTTACATAGCACTTACACACAGACTGTATTATCCGTGTGTTGGAACGATCTCACCCATAAGTGGGAATGCTGCAGATTCCTTAAAATCATAAATAATGTTTCAAACTCATATGAATGCCAAACAAAGTAATAAGATGAAGAACGCTTTATCTTAAGTCTCAGGAAATTATCGATTGGATTGATGCTTTTAGAAGCACACAAATGAGATGAGCAGTACAATAAAACCTGCCAGATCTCACCTCCCTCTAGTGCAGATTTTATTATAGAGTCAGAGAAATGACATTTCACACGTCATAAGGATGCACTGAGGATTCCTTTCACCATATAATGAATCCCCACCACGGCAAGGTGCTACTAGTCCCACTGTTAACTGACACAAGCATGCAGATCTTCTGATGTCTAGTGTCCCAGCAGTAGGTACATCCAGTAATCCAGCAGTTTGCAACTGTCATGGTTCTGCGCCTAACACCATTCCTCTCCCATGACTGCTTATGCCTTCCAGTCCTGTTCTCTGTACCTCAATTTCTGAATCTAACAAACACACAGAACTAGTACTTCCTGTTTCTTCCTTACCACTCAGGGAGTTTTATCCAAACAATGAACTGATTTTTGTCCTTGGTTAAGGGAAAAGGCAGATCTGGACAGTGGTCGATGGGAAACCCCTCTGAGAAGACATCCTTGGCTCACCTCCGGTTTCAATGCAGGGATATGGTGGAGGAGGCTCTTTCCAGTTTCCACTGGAGTCTTTCATGTGAGATCGGTCAGAAGCAAAGTTCTTCAAATATAAATCTGCACGGATCACTCTAAATTTCCTGCAGATAAATCAACACCCACTTATGTCAGGAAGATGTCACATTTGAAATTCTAACTCCATTTTTATATGGACTCATTTCTGACATACACAAAACTACTCATGCATTTTTGTACTGTTAGTAATACACAAATATATATGCAGCCTTATCACCTATTAATGAAGCCATAGGAAATGATCAACTGAAATCCAAAACTATAAAGGCAGAGAAATACATCTGGTTGCCTTTAGTTACTCAGCTACGGGGAAAAAAGGGCATGACTTTTGGGTGCTGCTATCACAGCCCTCTCAATTTTAGCAGTATGAGGCATCCCTCCACCCCCAAACAAGAGTATGAGAGAAATCCCCAACATGTTTGAAAGAAAATGTTCAAGATCTCATCACACAAATTTTTAAAAGACTGCCAACCTTTTATATGATGGATAACCTTTAAAACTTTAAAGCATTTTGAATCTCATTCTCAAATATCAACTCACAGGTAAGGCCAAGACAAGTGATCTTTACAAAACAAATGCAAAAAAACCCTCTATATTATCTTGAAGGTCTTACTTGAGAAAATAAATAAATCCATCCTGAATCTCCTCACCTCCTGAACTGCGGATGAATGTCATCATCAGACTTAAAGGCATCTTCTACATAAGTGTCAAAGGGACAGGGAAACGGCAGGACAGTATCGAGATCATAAATAAAGCTCTGTCCTCCACTTGAAACATGAAGCAAAACAACATGATAATCCTAGAAGTAAAAGTTGCTGAAGTTAACCAAGTTACTTTACGATGGTGAATTCCAAGGTTACAGTATTAATGCACATATATTATCACAAAAAAAGATACCAGACTAATACAGCCCTCCTTATAATAGCAAAATAAGATAAAGCAAACACAAAACCCTGAAAACCAACTAAATGTCCAGTGACAGAGAAACCACTGAATAAATAATAGAAATGTTCACATACATTAAACGTATATCCTTTAACCCAGCAATTTTACCTCTAAGACTCTAGCTTACAGAAAAATGGCCATAAGCATGTAAAGGTACATATACAAAGAGAATCTCTCTATCACTGTTTGTAATAGTGAAAATTCAGAAACAACCATCAAGAAGAAAATGATTAATAAACTATGATACAGCCATATAATGGAAAGCTATGCAGCTGCTAAAAGAAGTAGGTAAATTTATGTGGAAAATGAAAAAATGCCCATGTTATATAGTTGGATGAAAAAAGCAAACTGCAGAATATATACATATTACATATTATTTTTTAAAAGCTATGTGTATATAAGGACACACACATGCATTCAGAAGTACAAAGGCATGCATATGAATGCACAGAAAAAAGTTTGTGAGGATATCCTCCGATTAACAAAGGATTTTTTTTTTTTTTTTTAACAAAGGGGACTTCTTGACGTCAGTCTGGAGAGGGGAAAAAGGACTTTAATTTCTACCTTTGTTTTACTCTTGTAATAAAGAAAAAAAAAATTTTTTAAACAAAAAAGTCAGCCAAGCCCTAATCTGTAGCCATTAATAAGCTTCTCCTGCACAGCTGGGTCACAGTGTGGATGTGAATTCTCTCAAATGCAAGACACTGCCCAACACCAGCTCAGGGCTGAAAGCGATTTCAGGGAGGTTATCAAGGGACATGAGTGCAGTCTGGTGCTTTGAGTTCCTCAAAAGAAAAATGCTCTCACAGAGAACAGCACTGAGAAAGAAAACAATCTACCATCAATAACACCATCTTATATTTCCACAGTTACTTCAGAGTTCACAGAGCACTTTTTCAAACATTATTCCCTTTGAGCCCTGCAAAAACCCTTTGAGCTGAGAAAGATAACTGAGACTAGAGACTGTGTGCACCCAAGCCTGATGCTTCCCTTGGCTCCAACTCTATCTTGGTAAAGCAGAAATAGCATCAGAAATGGACACTCATTCCCTGTACTTCCCTTAACGCATCCTACCCTCCAGATAAATGCACTAAGAACTGCTCCCCCGCTATTAATCCAGCCTTCCTTCCGCTGGACTTGCTCCCATTATCCCTCTCCACCTGCAGTATCCTCTGCCTCTCTCCGCCACACAAGCTCCAGCTTAAGAGCCTTCTCTCCCGTGAATCCATTTTTTATCTCCTCCCACCCCCTGCCAGAAATAATCTCTGCCTTATCCAAAATCTGTTCCTCTCTGTACTGGCCAGCCACCAAAAAAAATTCTGTTTCCATCTTAACACCTTCTAACTCCTATTACAGTTTTTTTTTTAAATTAAATACTCCCTATTTGTGGGAGACTATGCTGCTGATCTGTAGATACAAAGAGGAAAAAGATAAGTCCTTACCTTCCAAGAGCTCCCAGAGAAGTAAGTGGGAATCAAAAGTAAACTGCTCCAGTACAATGGGATAAAGAGGACAAGCAAAGCAGGAGAGTGTGCAGGGAAGAGCACAGAAGCTCCTGGTTCAATCTCAGCCCCTCTACTCACCAGCCTACTTTTTCTTTTATAAAATAGAAATAACTAGAGTGTCTCCCTCATAGTGTTACTGGGAGAATGCATATGTAAACGGTTGGCCTTTTTAAAAGCCAACCAAGAGCTGGCTGATTAGCTCAGTTGGTTAGAGCACAGTGTCATAACACCAAGGCTAAGTTCAGATTGCCTTACCAGCCAGCTGACAAAAAAATAAATAAATAAAAGGCAATGAAGAATTGGAGGGGATAGGGGCTCAACTGCCAAGCAGAGTTTCACTGAGGAAGGCACGCCATCACTGAATCTTGTTGGAGGGCAAAGCTTTCCAGGGAGAAGGTACAACTTGTGAAAAGGCATAAACAGTGACTATCCACAACCTTCTAGCTGGCTCAGGTCCATAGTCCTACATACCAGATGGCTGACCAACTTGGGAGGGAAAGCAGGCTCAACGCAGCCTGCATAGCACAGATGTGGAGTCTAGGAATGCAGACTGGAGCAGTGGCCTCACTGTCTGAGTTGGTTCAGTGTTTGCCCAGCTACCAGAAAAAGACCTGGTTGGGCTAGGAGAAAGGATGCTGCCAAGGTGATCTGCTCCTTGGGGTTCGGTGTCTCTACCCACTCAAGGAGGCCTACCCATTTCCTACGACAGGATGGCAGTGGGTCAAAGATAAATCTGCCAGTAGGTGTGCAGAGACTTCTTGTCACAGCACTCTCCACCCTGAGCTACCACAAGATGGTAAATAACTTGTCCAGGTCACACAGCCAACCAGTGAGAGGACTGGGACTTAAACCCTGACTCCTGGTTGGGCTAGGAGAAAGGATGCTGCCAAGGTGATCTGCTCCTTGGGGTTCGGTGTCTCTACCCACTCAAGGAGGCCTACCCATTTCCTACGACAGGATGGCAGTGGGTCAAAGATAAATCTGCCAGTAGGTGTGCAGAGACTTCTTGTCACAGCACTCTCCACCCTGAGCTACCACAAGATGGTAAATAACTTGTCCAGGTCACACAGCCAACCAGTGAGAGGACTGGGACTTAAACCCTGACCCCAGAGCCTGCACTCATACTCCCAACATTGCTGGGGGTTTTTTTGGTTTTTTTTTTTTTTGGTTGGCCATTATGGGGAACCAAACCCTTGACCCTGGTGTTACAAGGCTGTGCTCTAACCAACTGAGCTAACCAGCCAGCCCCTGCTGGGTTTTGACTTTAATGTTAGAGAAGCAGATAGCCTGCTGGTGAAGGAAGTAAAAGGGTGAGCTCAATGAGGCCAGGGCCCCTAGTCTGCTTTTTGCCTGGCATACAAAAGGTACTCAATCAATACATGTTAAGTAAATGAATGGAGCACTTTCAAATGATTCATAATTTTAAATACATATCCAGAAACTAGGAGTTTGTTATATTTTCATTGATGGAGTTTATATTAGTCCGTTTCTGTTGCTAATAACAGAATACATGGAACTGGGTACTTTGTAAGAAAACAAAATTTATTGCTTACAGTTTTGGAGGTTGGGAAGTCCAAAGTCCAGAAAACACATCTAGTGAGGGTCCTCTTTGGTGGTGGCTTGACAGCAACACAGTGGTCTCACATGGCAGAAAATGGCAGAGCAGAGAGACTCTCACGCACTCTCCTTTTAAAGCCTCAGAACCATGCCTCGGACCACCATTATTAATCCATTCACTATGGCATGATCCTACAGTCCAATCACCTCTTCAAGGCTCCACCTTTCAATTACTATAATAGGAGTTCCCAACCTCTTAACACTGTCACAGTGGAAATTAATCTTCTAATATATGGACTTTGGGGGACACAGTTTAATCACTCCTTAACAGAGTTCTTCTTTTACTTTATCTTCATGTTTATTAGCATCAATATTTCTGTTCTTGAGGAGGACAGGTTAAGGTGACACACAGATGTGTACTAGAAAGAAGCCAGTTCTGCCACTGACCAGCTTTGTGACCTTGAGCTACTCACTTGCCTTTCTGGACTTGTTTCTTCAGCTGAAAAATGAAGAGGTTGACGTAGATCCATGTTTTTCAAACACCTGTCACGTTCACCTGGGAGTTTGTTAAGAACACTAAATTCTGAACACCTCTCTAGATCTACTAAATCAAAAATCTGTATTTTTAACAGTCTCCAGATAATTCTAATGTGCATCCAGATTACATACTGCTAAAGTTCCTTCCAGTGCTATTTGGATAAAAGTCTAGGTGATCACAAATATATCCACCACATTGACCATTTAAAATCATTCCTTAAAAAAGAAATTCCTATAATAATTTCAAAATAAAATATGCTTGTAGTGCTTCTACCTCTACCTTAGTAGTAGAGGTATCTATTCTCAAAAGATCAACTTATTAATAATTTGATCTATTCTCAAAAGAATAGAGGTAGTAGAGGTATCTATTCTAAGAAATTCCTATAATAATTTCAAAATAAAATATGCTTGTAGTGCTTCTACCTCTACCTTAGACCAAATAGTATCTATTCTCAAAAGATCAACTTATTAATAATTATCACAGCCTTTCTCTACTGCCCCTGTCATTTCTGCTTTACCAAAACACACAGACCACTCAGGGTTACAAGGAACAATGCATCAGAGGCTCTCTGTATTGACCATCTTACCCAGATCACAGGTCCATTTCCAGGTCTCGTCTGTTGTTTCCAGATAGGTATCTACGAAATATGATATATTTCATAATCTATACTTTCAGTGAAACCACCACTAAATTCTTTAAAGTAATACATAAATAAGAAATAAAACACTTCTAAGCAACCAACAATCAAGGTGAAAGAATAAATGAATGGGAAGAAATCCAAATCCTCCCGAGTGTCCTTTACAATGAAAACTTGCAAGAGCACAAATTAATTGTGTGACATTCTTTGGAGAGTGGAAAGGGACCTGGCAGGTTCAAGTCTTGCTTTCCCACTTAATTATTCATGGGATTTCCCTGAATGAAAGGAGGAAATAAAGTTGTCCAAACCTTGCCTACTTCAGAGAGCTTCCATTAGGGTCAAATGAGGTGATACCTGCACAAGTGCTTTACAAGATATGAAGGGCTTTCTTTTTCCATTTAAATTCCAGAGACACATCTGAGAGTATATGGCTATAATCTAAGCAATTAAAAAAGCTCTAAATTAATACCTAAGAAAAGGGACTTGATCTGTGTAGACATACCATCACATATTACCTTAACTACAAGTAAGGGACTAAACTCTTCTAATTTAACCATGCCTTGTAAGGAAAAAAATCTCATTCAAAAACAAACTTTAAAATGTTGCTGTATTTTATAAAGCAGAGTACTAAACCTATGCTGTATTTAGCTTCTAATGTCATCCTAAATCTCTTGTTTTCTTTCTATAATCATACACCAACTCACCATCTTCCTCTCATTAGATATGAAGACAGCATAACATTCTTCTAAAGGATATTGGTCGTGGTTTTTGATGTATTCACAGAGCTTCCAAATATTTTCTTCACTGAAATGAAATAATTGTTTAATCAATATAATTAAAAGAGAACACTATGTGTCTTTCAAATTTGAACAAAAAAACCAATGATGACATAAAAAAGTTGGAAGAGACCTTAAACCCCATCTCACCCAAAAACTGGCTAACATTTTAATCTACTCTAAAACATCCCCACAAGCTGTTATCCAGCTTATACTGTGTGTGGACACCTCTCCAGAGACAGAGTTCACTGCCTCCCACAGCAGTGCTGGCATATGAAGGCATTTCATAATCGATAAAATGCTATGTTAATATTCTACAAGCTTTGGGTCCTGGGACTTTAGATACAGCTGGAATTCCAACTCAGCCATTTACAAGGTAAGAAGCTTTGAACATCTCGACCTCTCTGAGAACCTACTTTTCTCATCTGTAAAATGGGCATGATCCCATCATATTGCAAACACTCAATAAATCTTAGTTAACGTTGGTTCCCTGCTCCCCTTAGAAATAGGGCAGGATGGTGTTTTGGGTAGGAGGGCTCCTGGAAAGAAAGGATCAGAAGTTATGTGATATGTACAGGAATTCTACTGGAGTCCCTGTGAATGGGATTCCCCGAACCCCTCTAATAAGGAGGAGGTTCTGACTTTTAGGAAGTTCTTTCACATACTGAACTGAAATCAATCTTCCCATACCTCTGCCCCAGATAAACTGCTCTTCTATATGACAGGCCTTTAGCTATCTGAAGCAGTGGTCAGAACCCTCCTAAGTAAAGCGATGCCCAGTAACAGAGCAGTAAAGAAGCCACTCTCCCATGCACAGGCAACCAGTCATTGCTGGCAGTATTCACAGCTCAGCCACTGGGTCCCTGTCTTTTTCTAACGAGCCACACTGCATCTTTGCTAAAAATGAGCTACACCAACACTGCTCACAGCACGTGACTCAGTCTACTAAAGCCTAATCTCCAGTCACCTACACAATGGTACCTGAAAATAAAGCAAGGCACGAACAGCATTGAGGACTGTCACTATTTTATAGAAATATACCTGTCCCAATGCTCCATACAACTGGGCTTAAAATACCAAAGTTAGACATCTGTATTTTTCTCTTATGATTTTTTTCTCTAAAATACTTCTTAGATAAAGTGATGACAGTGGTAACAACAGGAGTTTGCTACTGAATACTTCAATATGATATACAGAACGGAGTAACAAAAACTTACTATTTCAATATGACATATAGCATGTAGTAGCTATAATTTTTTTAATCTAAATGTTCTAAGCCTAAGTTTTGAGAAGACATTTGTCCGTCTGGCCTATTCAGAAGTTTTGAGAAGTTTACCACAAACATCTTCAAGAGCCTATGATGTACAAAACACTCTGCTAAGTGCATGGAGGATATGATGATAATTTGAGCTTACAGACCATGAGCGAAAACATACAGATCCATAAATAGCAAGTATCACAGAAGGCCATAAAAAATGCATACAGAAAGCACAGAGGACGGAGTCATTAATTTTGATGGATATGGAAAAATGGAGGACATATGTAGGTCAGTGGTTTCTTCTTGTTTGTTCCCCCCTCACCCCTTTTAATAGTGGGCTTATAGTTAATGCAAAGAGTTCATGAATCCACAGGTACCACAAGCACTACTGGTAACAGGCTGAACATATAATGCGGCTTGAACACACATTGCTTATTTTTCAAACATATGTAAATGTTACACAGAGAAAAAACAAATTTAAACATAAAAGTTCCCGAAATTTTAGTCTCTTCTTATCATCAGGTTAGAAGAACCTGCATGAGCAAAAGTAATAAGGTGCACCTACCTGATATATTCACACAAGGTAGAGCACTGATTCACAACCAGAGGTAATTTAGTACCCCAAGGCGACATATGGCAATGTCAAGAGATATATTTGGTTGTCACAACTGGGGAGAGGGTGCTAATAGCATCTAGTGGGAAGCCAGGGATGCTGCTACACGTCCTGCAATACACAAGACAGCTCCCACAGCAAAGAATTCTCATGCTCAAAATGTCAATAGAGCCAAGGTTAAGAAACCTTATGGTAGAGCAGAGAGGGCAAGTTCGAAATGAGGTTGGAGAAACAGTGACCAGACCTTGGAGAGCTTGCTATGCTCAGGGGCTACACATTGCTGTCTACGCGTGTATTCCTTGAAATGTAATCAACAGACCAGCTTCAGATTCCTCCACTGTGCTGCTTACACATCCAGGCTCTCTGGGGTGGGACCCTAAAATCTGTAGGTTTTACAAGCTCTTAGGTGATTCTCCAGCACATTCATATTTAGAACGGCTCTGAGCAGTGTGAAGCCAGCTAAGGTTAAAGACTTGACTGGATGCAACAGAGGCCTGCTTGGAAGCAAATGGAACAGTCCCCATGACAGCAGAGGAAGGCTCTACTAAAGAGATGTTCATCTCTTACCATTCTTCCACCAGATTGCTCCACTCCAATGGTACCAGACTCCTTGCTGTTCCCAGAAAACTCACAGCACACTTCCTTCTCAGAGCCTCTGAACCCGCTGTTTTCCCTGCCTGGAATGATCTTCCTCCAATATCCACAAAGCTCCCACCCTTTTTCTTCAGATCAATGTTCAAATATCACCTCATCAGCCATGTCTTCCGTAAATATCCAAATATAAATAGTATGAGTCACCATCCCTTACCTTGTTTTATTTTTGTCAAACACCACCCAAACATGGTTTACTTGTTTTTGTCTGCTTTCCTCCGACTGATACATTAAGAACCATGAGATTTCACGAGGTAATTTGTCAATTTTGTTCACTGCTGTACCCCCATGCCTGGAATCGTGTGCCATACACTGCAAGTGCCTAATAAACATTTATTGAATGAATAAAGCAATGAAAGGACATTAGGGACAAGAACTAACAGTATTTAGAAGAGATACAGGGCAGAAACATAGTGCAGTAGTTAAGAGGCATGGACTCCAGCATCACACAGAGGGTCCAGTTTTTTTTGTTGTTGTTGTTTGTTTGTTTAAAAGATGACCGGTAAGGGGATCTTAACCCTTGACTTGGTGCTGTCAGCACCACGCTCAGCCAGCGGGCGAACCAGCCATCCCTATATAGGATCCGAACCCGGGGCCTTGGTGTTATCAGCACCGCACTCTCCCGAGTGAGCCACGGGCCGGCCCAGAGAGGGTCCAGTTTCACCACCACCACTTGCTAGATGTGTGATCTTGGGCAAACGACAGCCTCTCTGTGGCTGTCTTTTCATCAGTAAAATGAGGATAATGATAATAATAGGACCTACCTCCTATTGGAAGCACTTGGCACTGGGCCTAACATGCAGCCAAAGCTGAACGAATGCTAAGTAAGCTCTTGGAACTGGTTTGGTCACCAACCGAAGAGAGGAGGGGTAGTTTTAGATAGCCCTGAGGTTTCTTGTGCAGGGACTGAAAGTTGGGGGAAGAAGTTATTTCTCAGGAAAGGGAAGGGTGGATGTGGGAGTGAAAAGGACCAACAAGGGAGGGGTGGTGCTTCAGCTGCAGAGGCCGCCTTGGACGGGGGTGCAGTGCCTGGACTCCGGAGCCTGACTCTGACTGTGAATCCCCATTCCTACACTCGCAAGATACGTGGTCTTAGGCAAGTTACTTACACCCCTCAGGGCTCCAGTGTTATCTTTAAAATGGGGATATCAACAGTACCTACCTCCTAGTTTTATTGTGAGGCTCAAATGAGTTAGTTTACATAAACCACTCAGAACAATGCTTGGCATACAGCAAGTGCTGTGTAAGCGTAACCATTATTATAATGGCAGCACAGTGGTTAAGATTATTGTTTCTGGTACCCAGGGCCTGAACTGGATTCCTGGCTAACCTCGAGAAAGTTACCTCAAACTCTGTGCCTCCATTCTCCTCCAAAATTAAAATGACCTTCACCTCAGTCTGAATCAAATAGGCTTCAGCAGAGTTATTTCCAAAGACTTCCTGCTCTTCATCCTCCGCCTCCAATACCCCTTCCTCGCCCCCAAGCACTGAGATCTGCTGAGAAAGTCCACCTGAAAAAGCCAGGCAGAGGTAATACACCGCCGATTGCCCAAGCTCCATTCAAGAGAGGTCCCTCCTCCCCCAAACAGCAAAGCCCGCCAGTCGAGGCCCGCAGCGGCGAGGAGGGGCCGAGAATAGGCGGGGCCCGGCTGCGACGCCGCGGCCCGGCAAGCCTGGGAGGTTCCGGGGGCTGCGCCCGCGCCCCCTCACCAGTAGCAGCTGCTGTAGACACAGGCGTCTCGCGGGGGGCTGGCCGGCTGGTAACGGGCAGCGGTGGGGCCATTCCCCTCCATGGCGGATGAGGCGGGCCGACAGGACCAGCCGCAGGAAGGAGCCGGCGTGCAGCCGACCGCCCGGATTCCCGGGGCGTGGCCCCGGCGTACCAGTATAGCATACATTATACGAAGTTATACGAGGCAAGCCTGGGAGGTTCCGGGGGCTGCGCCCGCGCCCCCTCACCAGTAGCAGCTGCTGTAGACACAGGCGTCTCGCGGGGGGCTGGCCGGCTGGTAACGGGCAGCGGTGGGGCCATTCCCCTCCATGGCGGATGAGGCGGGCCGACAGGACCAGCCGCAGGAAGGAGCCGGCGTGCAGCCGACCGCCCGGATTCCCGGGGCGTGGCCCCGGCGTACCAGCCGCGCAAGTTCCTGGCGCTCCAAACCCGAAATCTGGTGGGCGGAGCTCGGGGCGGGCGGAGCTTGGGGCGCGCGGGGCTTGGGGCGCGCGGGGCGGGTTCCGGGAGAGAGGGGCCAGGGCGAAGTGGGAGGATTCAGGCGGGGCGAGTGGGATTCCGGTGGGCGGAGCCTACGAGGAGAATGGTGTGTTCTGGGTAGGAGGAGCCCGAGCGGGTGGGCGGAGTCTGGGGCGGGGCCGGCGTGTGGAGGCGGGGCCGGCGTGCGGGGACGAGGCGGTGACCGCGGGGCCTGACACCGTGATGAGAAGAGAGGTAGTAGGCCGGCAGCCTGGGAGAGGAGCTAGGGGAGGGCTTGGCGTTGGGTAGCCGCCGACCCGGAATGGCCTTTCAGTGGGAATCTGCCGGAGGACACTCCTGTAACCCCGGGCTGGGGTTGCCAGCTGTGGAGGAACCAGATGAGACGCTGAAAGAAGAGAATTTGTGTGTGAAAATCGAAGCTTTAGCACTGTCGGCCTGGAGTCCGCGGGAGCCCGGGGAAGATGAGGGAGGGGCGGGCTAATTCCAGATATGGCCACATCGAGGACGGCTTTAGAGAGGGATCACCATATTGTAATCTGATTTTTAAAAATTAGGCAATCTGTATATATTGGCTTGGAAAGATGTATTGATTCCTTGATATAGTAAGAAAAAAAGTTTAAAAAGAGTCTGCATGGTGTCCTTTTTGTGTTAATCATGGATTTGTTTACCTGCTGGCAGTCTGGAAGGAAAGACACTAAAATTGTTTAAAGTGTTTATATCTGGTGAATGAATTGTATCGAGGACTTTCACTTTTGAAGACTTTACACATACCTTCTGAATTGTTTATATTTGCAATGAACAGGTATAGCCGATCAGGGTACTTCCTATTATAAAAACTGATATTTTGGGGTTGGTTTATAAACCATCCACAGTCGGATTCTTCAATCTCATGAGTCCCAAAGCCCATAAATCCTAAAGTCTTTGAGCATAGTCCTCGTCTCAGTTATCAATTTATTGTCTTTCACCTCCAAATACACACTTCAATATAGGTTCTGTGCTAAATAACAGAATTCCATTAAACATTTCTCCTGTAAAGTGAGCACGATATTAAGCCTTCACAGTAAAGAGTGCTGGAGGGATATTGCAGGAGGAAGACGCTTCCTGCAGTTTCTGGGATGGGACCAGACTTAAGGGTGTGGTCATGAGAACATCCAACGGAGTCCCCTCCATCTACAGGCCAAGAACGAGCTCCCTCTGTGACCTTGCAGCTTTAGCCTGGCAACAGCCTTTCCTCAGCCTCTCAACAGAAGAAACAGAGCCCCCAGAGCCCCGGGAGGCCTACAGGCAGCCACTTGCCCATACTTCAGCAAGCCCTTTGTGGCCTGCATGCAGCCACCTGTGGCCAACAGGGTCCCACACTGAGCAATGGTTTCTTCTGCCAGCCTCCCATCCTCCCTACCCCCACCCCCAGACCCAGCATTGTGAAGGCCTTCTGCCCCTGCTGCCTCCAAGACTCCCACTGCATCTGCACAGCTCTGGTTGCTGATCGCTCACACACACACACACACACACACACACACACACACACACACACACACACACACACGGAGGGTTGTCTATTGTTTGCCCAGCAGCTCCAGCTCCCATACAAATATTTCAAGTTTGTCCTTTCTTGGGTATTCTCCGTCAGCCCTAGGTACCATATAGAGTTTCTTTATACTCATATCTTACAGTTGTGCTTTTCACCATGGTTAATAATTCTTTATATTCAAAAAATAAATAATAATTCTTTATATTCTTGCCTAATCTGCCGATTGGTTTCTTGTCTCCTGATTGGACCCAGACTACTACAGGACTTTGAAGCCAGACTGGGTGGGTACTACTACTTACTAGTTGTGTGGTCTTGAGCAAAGTTATTTCACCCCTCTATGCCTCAGTTTCCTCACCTGTAAAATGAAGTTAATGATAATAGTACCTCCCTCATAGGATTGGTATGAGAATTAATTGAGTTTATGTGTATAAAACACTTAGAATAGTTGCTGGCACATAATAAATGTTAGCAACCATAATTTCTGGTATAATCTCACTTCATTATTTCCAGTATACCCTATATTCTTGTCACCGAGTGTCTTACTATTCCTTAGACACTCCAAGCCTTGGCACAAGATTTATATACCGTCTGTCTGATGTGCTCCTTCACACTCCTTGTTTGTAACTTTTTCCAGGAAGAATTCATTGTTGCCTACGATCTTTCCACAGTTTTTCCCCCCATTTTTGTCACAATTCTTTATTCATGTGTCTTTAGTAGCAGTATCATGCTAAGTAACCCAAACTATCTGTCTCTACCTCTGCCATGAGCTCCTCCCGGGCCCTCAGAGGTAGAATAGCATAATAGCGCTAGAGTCGGAAAGATGGACTCAATTCCTATCTTGGCTATTTACTATCCTATAAGACCTTGGATAAGTCACCAGCTTACTGTGTATCAGTTTCTTCGTAAAATGGAAATAATAATAGAGTGCCATAGCGAAGATTAAATAAACCAATCTGTGCAAAACATTTAGCATAGTGCCTGGCACAACATAGGTACTAACAATGATAAACATGGCAGACATTAGTTAAAGCAGTGAAAACAGATTTTATTCAGTAACAACTGACAGTAGGAGAAAGAGCTGAGCTGCATTCTGTTTGTGTGAGGTAATTTGGACGTTTTAAGGGGAGAACGAGGGGGAGGGAGAACAAGGACTCAGTACAGTAAGAGAAAAGAAAATTACAAAGGGCGTCAGTGTAAACACGATTAGGCCGGCTGTTTGCTAGCTGGCCCTTTTCTAAGTTAGGATTCTGTCCTCCCACAGGGACTGGAAGACAGAGGCCCTAACCTCCCTGATTACTTTTCAAAGGAATGGTTCTCAAGTACTTGAGAGAGACTTCTAAATTGCAAGAGATACATATTTACAATCCTAAGCCCTTTTTAGTAAATGCTCTAAGAAGAGCTGCATTCTGTTTGTGTGAGGTAATTTGGACGTTTTAAGGGGAGAACGAGGGGGAGGGAGAGCAAGGACTCAGTACAATCAGAGAAAAGAAAATTACAAAGGGCGTCAGTGTAAACACGATTAGGCGGGCTGTTTGCTAGCTGGCCCTTATCTAAGTTAGGATTCTGTCCTCCCACAGGGACTGGAAGACAGAGGCCCTAACCTTCCTGATTACTTTTCAAAGGAATGCTTCTCAAGTGCTTGAGAGAGACTTCTAAATTGCAAGAGATACATATTTACAATCCTAAGCCCTTTTTAGTAAATGCTGTAAGAAGGGGTGGTCAGAGGCCTATCATCAGGTGCTGGCAAGAACAAATAGTAAATTGTGGCAGCTTTGAGCTTTCTCTCATTTTAATGAGAGGCTGAGGTCATCCTAGGGACACAGCTTATACTGCTAAAAGATATTCTAGACTTTGGTCAAGTCTCTTAGTGCAGGGGTTTGGACAAAATTGTGCGGAGAGTTCTGCAGTTCTCAGTACCCCATGTAATAGACAACTACATAGTTTTATAGTTATGACTATTATTATATATCTCTGTGAGGAGAATATAAGCATTGTGACTGGCATACATCCTTGTTGAATGAACAATTTTTTTTTTTAATTAGGATACAGGAGAGATTGCTATAACAAAAGAAACCACCCCAAAACAAAGTGACTTAGATGAGATACAAATGTATTTCTCATGTAACAGCCTGAGCATATTCATTCCAGAGCTGATACTGTATCTCTACAGTATCTGTTATCCAGGCTCCTGATATTTTGTTGGAAGGCTATATCTGGAGTCTCACACTGGACTGCATNCACACACACACACACACACACACACACACACACACACACACACACACACACACACACACACGGAGGGTTGTCTATTGTTTGCCCAGCAGCTCCAGCTCCCATACAAATATTTCAAGTTTGTCCTTTCTTGGGTATTCTCCGTCAGCCCTAGGTACCATATAGAGTTTCTTTATACTCATATCTTACAGTTGTGCTTTTCACCATGGTTAATAATTCTTTATATTCAAAAAATAAATAATAATTCTTTATATTCTTGCCTAATCTGCCGATTGGTTTCTTGTCTCCTGATTGGACCCAGACTACTACAGGACTTTGAAGCCAGACTGGGTGGGTACTACTACTTACTAGTTGTGTGGTCTTGAGCAAAGTTATTTCACCCCTCTATGCCTCAGTTTCCTCACCTGTAAAATGAAGTTAATGATAATAGTACCTCCCTCATAGGATTGGTATGAGAATTAATTGAGTTTATGTGTATAAAACACTTAGAATAGTTGCTGGCACATAATAAATGTTAGCAACCATAATTTCTGGTATAATCTCACTTCATTATTTCCAGTATACCCT